ACATAAAGCATATCAGATAGTGGCATACCAGACAATTATCACAAAGACAATCATCTCAGCTATAATCACCTACTAGTGGGCCGACATTGGTGCCTTCGACCCACTCCTACCGGAAGGTAACTCACCTCAAAGTCGTGAAGTAGCTAAACTGTCCTCGGCTCTGGAATCAACTCTCCTCAAAATCCTACTCATAACATCTCTTTTAATTACTTTTTCATACTTATAGCCCCATTAAGGGTCCACTCTGGTCAATGGTCAAGTCAAAGGTCAACACTCCGGTCAAAGTCAACCTTGTGGTCCAAGTCAACATTATGGTTGACTCAACTCGTCGAGTTGGTTCATCAACTCGTCGAGTTCTCGGGTCCATAAAACTCTGGGGTCTCGATCTTACTCGTCGAGTTCTTCCATGAACTCGTCGAGTTCCCCTTCACACAAGTCGGGACATTTCACTCACAACTCGTCGAGTTCATCCTTGAACTCATCGAGTTCCTCTTCATATCAGTTGGGACATTTTGCTCTCAACTCGCTGAGTTCTTTGATCTTCAAGTCCATAAACACGTCCAAATCGCTGAGTCATCTTCTAGACTCAACGAGTTTTCTCAGTAACATCAAAGGTTGAGGAACCAGGGCCCAACTCGCCAAGTCGTATGAGCGACTCGTCGAGTCCCCCAAAGTCCAAATTTTTCCAGTCGTTGCTAGTCGGGTTCAAGGCTTCCAAACCATAGATCTGGCCTCCTAGGGTCCATATAACACGTAAAGTTACAAACTTTACGTTCATGCATGGTGTTATGAAGCTAACAACACCAAAACCAAGTTCCTAAAGAGACCTAGGGCACAGAGAAGGGCCAAGACTTAATAAAGCTGGCAACTTTAAGTCTTATAAGGCCATGCACATCCAGATCTGAGGTCTTAACTCCAAAACATGCTTGCATCCATGAATGGTTCCAAAATGGGCTTCTTAAAGCCCTAATTACTTCCATGAAGAGATCTAGTAAATGAATAGCCAAGGTACAGACTTTATACCTCTACTGAGTCAGAAATGCAGCACAAAATTTGGATCTACTTGCCTCCTCTTGAATCCCCAAGCTTCCTCTTCCTTCTTAAGCTTCAAAATCACCAAGAACACACAACTATGGCTCAAGAACACTCAAAATGGACTAGGGTTTCGTGAATAAGGCTTGGAGGTGATGGAGGCTGAAGTTGAGGTAAGTTAAAGTGTTTAAATTGGGTGCAAGCCCTGAAAATTAAGGTTTCACTCTGGCAGCCCTACTCGTCAAGTCGAGGTTATCGACTCGTCGAGTAGGCTTCAATTCCCGCGTCCAATCATTCGTTCCTAGTCGACGATTTTGGGGCCTCCGACTCGTCGAGTCTCTTTGCAAAAAATGAATGTTTTAATTTAAAATATATACACGATTTAATATCAATCGAAACGCTCACATATGATTCCCTCTATCACAACACTGAAACGTCACATCCATACTGACCGTCGTAAGGCCCATTTCCGATTAAACATGGAGAAAATCGTGGAACTCTTGGCTGACCAATGTCAAGCTAACCTTGCATATAAATGCACCAATGCAACGGAAACTAAGCGATCACATGCCCAAATAGACCATGCTCCTCCTCAGCTCCAATAGCTCTGCTCATTTATCCCTAATCCACAACCACAACACTCGCAATCCCAATCAAACAAGAACAGCCAAGAAGTCCTAGTTTCGACCCTCAACCTGGGCTCCTAACACCCTAGAGTCTAAAACACGAGAATGCCCTACTCATTACTATCACAACTAAAGCTAAGACGACTCGAATGGAAATTCACCAACTGCCGATGAACCCTGATGCGAAATCAGAAGATCGAACAATTCCACGAAAATCCTGAACTGAAAAAAAAAATCAACTGAAAACTGAATCATGGCATAAGGTATTCCTTCTACGAGGTCTTCACTCTTCCCTACTTGAGATATGTTGTAGTCTGAAAACTTCACAATCCTTCAATAACCATACTAACTTGAACCCTACCACTTGATCCCAACTACTGATATCCACATATGCAGGAAAATTTGAGCCACACAACATTCATAAATTTCAATACGCATACAACCGATGAAAAATATGATTAATCCATTCATAACAAGAAATAAATTTATACAAAGCTAAATAAGATAATTTCATTTAACTGATCATCCAAGATTACAGCTGAACCTTAAAACACAGGCATAAATTACAGATGAATACCAATACCACCACAACTGCTGAATAAAGATCTGCCAACTCAACTATCGGTCATCGGGACTCCGGTCATCCCATGACGATCGTCAGGACTCCGGTCGTCCCATGATGATCGTCAGGTGACTGCCAAGACAAGGGTGTAGGATCCAACACCTCACCAAAAATGAGAAAAGGACAACAAACTCTTATGGCCTTCCTGGTTGCAATGGAAACAAACTCTCGCACTACGCCTGTAATCTCTACCAAAATGGCCCTCCTCATCGCACCTGTGACATACAAAAGATCTGCACCTCCCCTCCGATGATCCCGAACTCCGGCCAGCGGACTTGAACCGCTTCGCTACGGGATCACTACTAGAAAAACAACCTTTTACAACGCGCAATGCGCGTCGTAAAACGCTCAGACGACGCGTAAATGCGTGTCAAGGAAGGCCCTGTCATAATGAGAGACGACACGCTTTTGTGCGTCGTCTATAAACGACGCGCATTCATGACACGCAATGCGTATCATTAAAGCCGCTGTCAAGAAAGTTCATGTCATAAATGAAGATGACACATTTTTGCGTATCGTAATTTTAAATATTAAAAAAAATTATTTTTAGATTTACTAATTTTCAAATTAAGTTTGCATTTCATGTATCATAATAGAAAATCAAATACCATATACAAAAACTACAATCCATTGCACAAAAGTTAATGTCATACAAATAATCATTCCAATAGTAGACAAATGTAATACATCAAATGTGAAAGAGATGAAAGTCATCAACAAATAATAGTTGAACTACAAGAACTTGTTGCCCACCTTCACAACATCTCGAGCTACTTTGCTTGACACTATGCACATCAACAAGACCTACAAATTTGAATAATGCAACCATTAAATTCACATAAACCAACAAATCCCAATATGTAAAAATGAGAATAACTATACTTAGTACTTACATTTACTGCTGACATGTAGTAGTCGCACCACATGAATAACAAATCACAATAAAAAATGGTGGATTTTATTTTTGAGTATGAGTGATGCAAATTCATCAGGAACATCTTCGTATTAATTTATTTATTTCCATTTATCCTTGATTCTAGTTCTATCTACTTTAAGTTAAGGCAAAGAAATGCTCAAAGTTGCTATTTAAATTACCTTAACATGCATAGGATGCCCGACTCTATCAACATAATATAACAAATAATACATCATACTTGTGTGAAACACAAGATGTATTTTGAAGCCAAAAGTCCACAACTTGACATTTTTACCCTCTCAATAGTGGGAAAAATGATTCCGATAGATGGATTTCTCAACTTTTGGCTAGCACTCCAACAGCTCTACTGAAACATTATGAAAACAATTTATATTAATAATAATTAATAATGAAACTCATCTTAAAGTTCAAGGATAAATGGAAATAAATAAATTAATAATGAAACTCATCTTAGAGTTCAAATTTTGGCTAGCACTCCAACAACCCTACTGAAAAATGATTTGATAAAGGTGGCTAATACCAACAACAGAAGCTTCAATAGAACCAAGTAACATGCATCTTAGAGTTCTTGGTATACAATAATCACCCTGAAATAAATATATACAAACTTAGTAAGAGAATGCCACAACTCTGCAATAGAGGACCAACTAACAAAGTTGCCAAGAATCCAACAAGTTGAGCAGCAAAATCGGATTTTGAAGGGTGTCAAACGGATTACCTCATCTGCATCACCCGCTATGTCAGTGCTCGGTGATAAATTGCATCACCTTTGCAATAGAGGACCCCGCCCCAAATTCAAGAATACTATTATTTTTACCAAGTCAAAGAAGTAAACCTTAAAAAACTTAATTCAAAGTAAAACGAATCAAATAAGGGTCAGAAGTCATCAACATGTGTATCTATAGTTACAAGAGTTTACAACTTCCAAATTCAAGAATACAATTTTAACAATATATTTCTTATAATCATATTTAAAAACTGAAGTCTAATAACTTTTTAAGATCAGACCTAATGCAAAACCTCCTTAGCTCAACACACTTGATATAGTTGAAATTTATCCACAATCAAAACAACTCTTAACTATTATGTTTGGTTTAAATTATTATTGATATTATGTTTAGATACCGTGTTCAATTTACGTTACTGATCATATTGTGATTTAATATTAATGCATTTGTATTATTAATTGTAGAAAATAAACTGTAATTTATAGATACATAGTCATTTGTTATGTGCTATCATTTCTATACAGAAGGGTAAAATGGTCATTTATTCAGATTCAGATAGTTCCACTAGCCCAAAAAACAGCCTTTATATATACAAGACTAATCCAAGATATACTATTATTCTAATTTATGGGTTGCAACCTTAACTCGATTCTCTTGGGTTGAAAATAACATTCTTACAATCTGGAAGAATGCTCACAGACCATGCAGGGAGAAAATATGATATGTTTATAAAAATACCTCTAAGTTTATACCAAGGGATTGATGACTTGGATCTGCGTTTACCAAATATTTTTCACATTGCTTTATTGCCATATGTAGGTCCCGCAAGTGACCCCACGTTGGTCGCCTTATGAATCCTGCATAAGTTATATCCATATATAACACTTACTCCATGCAGACATCATTATTTCATATCTGAGGTGCATACCATAAATCATAATCAAAGTATATTAATTTCATAACACTTTTGCTTATGTCAATTGTCAAATGACCATTTTTTTTTTTGACAGGAAGCTAAAACTAATGCAGCCAGGTGATATTTTTTTTACCATCTTTCATTTGTAGCCTTCCACATGTTTGAGCATTTGCTTGTATTCTAATTTATGGGTTGCAACCTTAACTCCAAAGTTTTGCACTTGCTGTAATGTAAGTAAAATCATTAATTACACATCCAGACTGTTGGATACAAATAAATAGTCATAATGTATTTATTTTATTAGGTACCATCTGGTTATGTGTCGTCTCTTTTGTGAAATGGTAAACATGGATCAACCGGTCTGTGGGCCCCAGATCTTTCTCTTCTTCTGGAATCTGACACAAGTAACAACAAAACATTTTTATTTTTGTTTACATATATAATAAACCATATTCCATTATACAACTCAACTTACTTCCTCTGCACGCGATGTCCAATATTGATCATTTATATTCTCAATTCTCTCTGTTAGTGGAAAGATCTGAAAGGATAAATATAAGCAAACTTCAAAAACACAATTCCCACATTCACATTCACATTGCCCCTCCCTCCCTCAAGGGACTAGAGGCTCTAATAATGTACAACACCATGGTGGAATGGGATATAAATAATAGTAAAAGAAAACATAGTGACAGTAGGATAAACTGCAATAAATACCTTGTAAATCTTATGATAGAATACTTCGAGCAGTCTCAGTTCAGCATTTGGATGTGACAGTTCCACCTGTTTGTTTCAATTTCCAAAATCAAAATGCAAATTAAAAAAACGTAATTTAATTGCTCTAGAATATGTATGTCAATTCACAAGGACAAGGAAGGGTTTTCCTTTTCTGAAAAAGTTGCTACTTTCCCTCACTCACTGACTCCTTCATACATGTTGGTGAAAGATATAATTTATGTAAAATTACTATTTTGGAGTAAATCCTTATCCAAAATAAATACCAAGGCATAAGGTGATGTAATGGTAATCAAGGCATGGAGATTGTAGAGTTTAGGAATATACCTTACTGAAGTACCCGACCAACAAGGCACTATGTGGACGCTGTAATGATGCCAATAGCGTACGCCAATAAGATAGCAAATTAATACCATAGCGAGATCCATACAGCATGAGAACAAAAACAGATTATAACGGAAAAACATGCAAATCACTCAATACTAGTCATCAACAATTTCATTACATATGAATTCAACAAAAAGATATATATTCCATCGTAACTTACAGGTGAAGAAGCAGTTAGAGCTGTAAGTTAACATAGCTATGGATCGTACCTGTAAACAACGTAAAAGAAGGGGGAGACGGAAGCGGCCGAAGGAGGAGGCTTCGTCGGTGTCGTCGACTAGAGACCTGAGGCGGAGGCGTCGTCGGCCGTATCAATGACTTTGTGTCGAATGAACATTCGATTCAGGGTGTTTGTCTTAGCTTTTCACAGCCAAAAGTCATTCTTGGAAAAGTAAAAAAGCAAAAGATGTTTGGCAAAACTAGTTTTAAAAGCTACTTTTTGAGTTTTTATACAAGGATAATGAACTTTTTGGAAAAGTCAGGAAATCCTGACTTTTTGTAACTTTTCCAAAAAGGACTTTTGTCCGTGAAAAACTAAGTCAAACACCCCCTCAATTTTGACTTTATGGTCAAATGAACACTCGATTTAAAGGGGGTGTTTGGCTTAGCTTTTTAGAGGCAAAAGTCCTTTTAGAAAAAGATAGAAGGTAAAAAATGTTTGGCAAATGCATCTTAAAAGCTACTTTTGGATTTGGATACAAGTAAAAATGAACTTTTTGGAAAAGTCAGAAAACCTGACTTTTTGTAACTTTTCCAAAAATGACTTTTGCACCCTAAAAAGCTAAGCCAAACACCCCCAAAGTCTCAGAATAGTGAGGCTATTGGTGAATGGTGACCTAAAATAGTGATGGGGGTTTTGTTATCGGTGTAGTGCGACAGGAAAGAATGGTCGGAGAAGATGGTCGGAGACACTTGGCGGTGCGAGATCGGAGGTTGGGTGGTTGTGCGATGCTGCTATGAAGACGAAGGCCTAAGGATTTTTCTTGCTGATTGGAAGAGGGGGGGTTAATTTTTGGGATCGAATAGGCGTAGGGATGAGCATATGGACCGGGGAATCGGCCGGAACCGGTACCGGAATCGGAACCGGCACCGGAACCCGATGGAACCGGTCGGGCCGAGACCGGGACGTTATTTTTGTGGATTTTTGGAACCGGGAACCGGTAGGAACCGGAACCGATATAACCGGAACCGATATAACCGGAACCGGTAGAACCGGCAAAAACCGGAACCGTATGATGCTATTTTTCGAGGACCGGTTCCAACATTTGAAGACACGACAAGAACCGGTAGGAACCGGTAGAACCGCCGGGCTAGTTCGGTTCTTGATTTTGGCCGAAGCCGGTTCCCGGGTCGGGTCCGGTTCCGGCCGGTTCGGTCCTTTTGCTCATCCCTAAATAGGCGGGTGAAATCCCGCCTTAAAACGCGTGTTTCATTAAAAAAATTATAAAGCGACACACTTAGACGACACACATTTTATGAAAGGCGCCCTCCACATTTTTTTTTCTTTTCTGACACTAATTTTAGGGCACGCACAAATGCGTGTCCTCTATCAGCGCGTGTCATTGTTTGCGCGTCATTAAATGGCTGTTTTCTAGTAGTGGATATAATAGAATCGAAGCCCAAAGTCGCTCCTTTGTCTGGGTCTCTATCTTAATCTCTCGTCTCCTCGCGACATCCTGAAGCTCAGCGAGGGTACTGTATCGCCGGGTAGACACAAACTGTCGAATGTACATCTTGAGTATACTCAAATACCGAGTCAGCTGATCCTGCTCTCAAGCAGCGAACTCAGGACTGAGTGAAAATCTTAGTGATATCCATCACCGACTCGGTCGTCAACCTCAGATTCAGGTAATCAGTCTCTCCCTCTCCACCAAGGGAACATATACGGAACATCTATGAGAACCGCTTCCAATTCACAACAACCCTCTGCTCAGGAGTGTAAGAACTAGTCACCAATATCCACCAATCCTTTGCCCCCAACCTGAGAAGGTTCAGGGCACATTTGACCTTTTGGTCATCCGGACAAGAACATGTGAAGAAACAATCGTCCATGTCATACAACCATCTCATTGCCACAATTGGGTCCTTGACCCCATCAAACTCCGTAGGCTTCTTCTTATCGAAGTCCCGGTACTGGAAAGCTCTCTCTCCTCGAACCCCTACGGCATCAACTGCCACGATAGTTTCAGCAACAACAGCCTCAAAAAGTGCAACATAGTGATCATCGAATAGCTCGATCATGGCAGTCTTGACCAACCCAAACAACTCCGGAGTAACCTCCCTGATCGCCTCAGCCACTTCTGTAGAAATGATCCCACTGATCTCCTTCTCACTCAGATCTACCCTCTTAGTTCTGCCATCTCCTAATCCTAAACCTCCAATAGTGGCCATATTGAAAAAATATACCAATGAAAGATCAGATATCACAACATAGTGCTCAACACACTAGGCCCTACTCCTATTAGTTCCTATGCGTTCAGTAGTACAGGCCCATACTACCTTCCACACCTATCCGTAGTCGATTCAGAGTTCATCCCAAGGTCCTAAGTTACTGCACTAGACCACTCCTAGGTGTGCTAACACCCACTTCTCCTACAAGCTGCAACTAACTTCATAGGCACTCTTCCTAGGATTATCCTCGCTCCCGCACCACCGGTTTCTTTTATGCATGCTTTTTGTACACAATACAAGATCAGATAGACTGTCGAATAATCGACTCTTACCTAATTCCACAACCAAACAAAGAACATGAATTAAGGCTAAGTCGATCGTTTTAAGGCTATTCAATCCCGACTATATACAACTAATCAACATACATGCAACAATCACAAATCAAGTAATATATATCAAGAAAGCAATTTCCTATATCATAAGGCATCACAAAAATTAGGCATTTCTATCCAACAATTCCTAAAGAACCTTAGCTTATCCACTACCATGCTTTCCTAACAGTTTACATATCAGCAAAATCAAAACTCAGTACATATAACAAGTATGAGTATTTTGGGAACCACTCTCCTGTTCGGGCATTGGCTGACCGTACACACCGCATCTTCCTTTAAAACCAAAGTTAAGTCAAGGTCCACGTTCCCGAACCCAAGCCAACAATCAAACAAGAACATGACAAGATACCGAGTCCATGTCCCTAACCCAACCCTTTTATTATAAATTCTTTTTCAAAACGTTTTGTGAAAATTCTCGAATCCTAGTTTGAGGCTGGATTCACACAAGTGTTCTTCCAATTCGCTCAAAACAGACTCTGGTACCAACCTGTAACTTCCCATTTTAAATTTCCTTTAGGGCTAAAAAAATAAATAATTAAATAAAATAATTAAATAAATCTCGGGGTTTAGGGTTTATTCTGAAACGGGATGTTACAAATACTCTCGTTCTCTATGTTTTCTTCATTTTCCACACCAATGGCAACCTCTTCAAAACCTAAGTTCACAAAGAAAACATAATCAACTTTCAAAAATTAAAAAATTTAGTGTATTCTAAGAGAATAAAAACTATAAATTACATAAAATGTAGTAAACATTAAAGAATTGTAATTTATTCTAATAGGAAAAAATCAAAACACAATTTCTTTTAATATCATTTTGTTGTAACAAAAAAGGGAAGACATTATTTATTACTTAGTGTTAGCTTGTATGAAAAAAAAGGAAAAGTAGAAAGGAAGAAAAAATTTAAACTTTGTTGTGCTTCCGGTTTGATTCAACAAAAAATAAACAAAGAAAAAAAGAATGTTGTAATGTGCATGTATAAACTGTTTTGACAGAATTGGAATTCGAGATTTCATTCCAACAGAATGTTGTAAGGTGCATGTAAAACTATTTTTCTTCGATATCTCTCTGTTTCAATGAAACATACATAGCGGGAACTTTTTAGCCATATCCGACTTGATGACATGAATTTAAACAAAATTTTGGCCACCTGGTAAACATTCCCCAATAAGGCTCCGATAATCAAAACTACATAAACAACAACTATAAGAATCGTTTGCTTACTTTTTCGAACAGGAACATAAGAAAAAAAGATGAAGCATCAAATTGGAAGTCCTAAGTAATGTAAAACAAATTTCCTCACCACAATATCGTGTAATTTTGCAATGTTGCCTTTTATATTATGTAGATGAACAAATAAACAAATGAAAACCACAACTACCATCCGGAAATTCAATTTTAGAAATATGAATTCAATTTCAGAAATGAATTTCAACACAGTACTGTTTCAAGCACGCCGATCATAAATTGAGAACAAGACAAGGGGAAAACGTATTACCTTAATTTATGTTTCCATAGGGCTTACGATGGCATCACTATGAACGTTATTTCCTGAAGTGAAATCTAGTGGTGTGGTGTTGAGAAAAGTGACAATGCATCAGGGGACGTGAAAGATGAGAATTTCTCAAATGGGGGGAGGGGGGTGAGGATGTACCGTTTTCTTTCTTTAATGAATCCTTACTGGAAATTCAACACAAGGTACCAGAAATAAGAAATACTTAAGATGGTTACATGTAGAAATCATGTAGAAGAAAGATGAACATTAAAATAAATTGACAAATAAAACTGAAATTGCATCAGGTGGAGCCAAGAATAATCAGAAATTCTGAAAGATTAAACAAGATTAATCTTGAAGATGCATCAAGATAGAAAAGAGGTCCTGAAAAATAAACATCTACTCACCATATTAGAGATGCCAACCAATAAAACATCCAGGGTTTTCGAAAACATCAAATTCGAGTTTAAAACACTGGAGGTGGAAGAGGGCAGCGCTGGAGGTGGAAGAGGGAGTCGTTGGAGGTGGAGGACAGACCATAGAGAAAAAAGATAACCATTTTCTTGGTAATTATTTTCTGCACTTCGATTAACGAAAAAAACAGAAGAAGGATTAGATTCTCTTGTTGTTTCTAGTGACACACACACAAAGAAGAATCGTTGTCTTTGTGAGGAAGAAGAAGATCAACTTTTTTATGAGTTTTGTGTGTGTCTTTGTGCGGCGGCCACACAATCAATCAAAGAAATGGAACGATAAATTTCGTTGGAACA